GAAAGATGACAAGCTGTGGAAGACGGGGAAGACCACTCAGGAAGACTATTAGAATGTTGTGAGGTTTTACAAGTAGAAAATTAGAAGCACCAAAGCCCAGCTAGAACTTAACCTGGCCTCTGCTGTAAAAGGCAATTAAAGTGTTTCTGTAAACACATCAGAAACAACAGGAAGGCTAAGAAGAATCTCCATCCTTTATTGGATGTGGGGGGCAATGTAGTGAAAAAGGATGAGGAAAAGGCTGAGGTACTTCATGACTTCTTTGCCTCAGTCTCTAAGTCTTTTAGTAGGGCCAGTTGTTCTCCAGGTACCCAAATTAGAAAGCAGCATGTTTACATAGGCATGGCATGTGGAGGTTTATCTATTTGTTGGCAGGTGTTAATGTCATCAGAGGGAATCCCCTTTCTTTGAGCATATGAGAAAAATGGTAATACTCATTACGATAATACAACATCTGGATATTGAATAAATATGGCACTCTAATAAAGTGGCTAATTTGAGTGAGGCACAATGAAGACCTATCATTTAATCTAGTGATGTCATACAGTGGAAATGTTTCATGACATTGTATGTTGATGGGACAGATCCAGCCAATCCGGTGCATTGCAAAAGCAGAAAGCTTTTAATTATTTTTTATACTCAGATCTTGCTACTCCATTAAATCACTTCATCTGTTCTTAGACCATTAGCACCATTGTAACTTCCATTCAGTCAGTCTATTTCTTGTAGGTATGAAAAACATGTCTTGACTATAAAGCCAAGTATAAAATTAGGAGAGATACAGATTGAGATACTCATGCAGTCGTGGCTGCAGGAAATACTTTGATTCTGAAAGGTGCTCATGTTCATGCACAGACCAAACTGTCAAAGATTTGTGAATGCTGTCATAATCAGAACTGAATCCGCTGACAAGAAGAATCACACAAACAAATAGAAAAATACAATTTCCTTAGAAACAGAGATAGCTTTTTCAAAGTACGTAATACAGTTCTATTTAACTTGGATATCTAGTCATAGGGTCTTTATTACTTCGTGTAATAACATTGACATCACTTGTCATTTGGATTAAATATATGTTTTAATTACAGATTTTCACCAAGATAAATTTGCAGTAGGCTATGGAAGAGGTCTTATGAATTTTCTCATATCAGATTCTGACACGTAGTTATATTAGTACATTATATTAGACTCCTTTAATTTATGTTTAAAGCCTCAGACCCTGTGTTCTCAGAACTGTTTCTTGTGAGTCGTGTGCCATCTTAACATCACAAATGCTGCCCTGATGCTACTGTGAAGGATCAGAGCATTTCTTGTACTTCTCATTTTATATGAACTCTGAGACATATACGATGGCCGACACTTACTGCTTACATGCAGTCGAAAATGCAGCCATATCAGTGAAACTTTCATTTTGTGGATTTTGTAGTAGTCCCCTGTAGTTACTAAGAAATACAGAACAAAGGTAGTCTTTGACATTTCCCATTGATCCTGGTCCCATCACTGTCCAGGTCAGAGATCTATCACAGAGCATACTGCTGCTCCTTCTAGCCCACAAAAACAGGCTTTCTTTCAATGGCAAACAGGGTGCATGGCAGGAGGGCTGATTCACTTTTTGAATCCAGAATCCATGCAAAAGTGCATATTGTATGTGGCAAGAAGCAGCAAAGTATCCCATATTTCCCTGCAGGCTAGAACGGTAGGGTTTTATTCTGAGACTGTCTTTGTCCTCCCTAGGAAAGATCAAGGCAAAAGGAGTGGCCGACCTAGAGAGCCACCCCCATTAACCCCGAATTGCATCTCTGTGGAAAGCTATGGCTTTCAGGTAGCCTGCAGATCTTGTCATTGTCATGAGAAGGGAGTAATGGCAAATCATCCACTCTCCAAAGAATTATGTTATGTATGAATCCAGTCCAAAAATCCTGATTTTTTTTGTGTGAAACATTCATATAAAACCATGTGAAGTTTCCAGCTATTAATCATTGTGTCTCGAGTCTGAGCAACTGTCTCCTCAGGTACATGCTTTTTCCGAAGCTTTCTGAAGCTTTTTCTTCTCAAACACCAAGGTGACAGGTTCCCTTTCCCCTGTTTCACTTGTAATAACAAATCCTAGCCCCTTTCTCCTATGACAGCAGTATTACTTTTATGATCCTGTACTCCTAGACATTGTTTTTCAGACTGTGATGGATGGCATAAGAGGCTGCAGAAAGGAAAGAAGAAAAGAGATGGGAGGGCGTGGAGATGGGACCCCTCGGGCAGTCCCAGGCCGGTGGTGAGGAGGCAGCAGTCGAAAAAACCGTTGGAGGTGACCAAAATATGCTCCACCACCCAGAAGGGTCAGGCAGAGATAGATGGGTTCCCCTCAGGAAACTGCTGTTAGCCATAGCCTGCCCACATGGATGGAGGGACACGTTTTGTTGATTAAATGTTACCACCACAGTCCTTGTGACACTCATTATCTCTAACCAACTAAAAGTAAGAAATTATACTTGACAGCTGTCCACATCCCTGGCTAGGGAGCTGCTATACTTCAAGTGCTGTGTTTTACACAAGCACTAGTTAGCCTATGATAACAGATAAAGATCAGATTGTTTTTTTCGGAAGTCATTTCCAGTTCTTTGCTGTAACTGGCCTTGTTCTGCAGGCTTCAGGGAGTAAATCTTATCACTGGATCTTGGGGAGTCTCCACCAATTTTTGACAAAATTTCCATTTCCATCCTTGTCTTGAAGGAACCCATTTCTTTTTACAACTCCATCAAATTATTCTGAAACTTTATTTGTGCAATCTCTTCAGCGGGTCAGTAAATTGTTAAATGCTTAGAACTTGAGTTCAGGCAACAAGGTAGTCTGGGGAAAGGAAATGGCTTGCAAAAGGATTTACAGCTAAATCCTTTAGGTGCTGGTCTCCTCCTTATCTTACCAGTTGCATAGCCTAAATACAAATTTCTGGAGCATTCCAGAGTGCAAAGTCACTGCCCACCTATGTCTGGGCCATGACACATACAGGACGTAGTACTTGCTAAAACTTTGAACTCAAGCATACTAATACCTGTAAAACAAGCATTTGCTGTTTATGTTTAATGAATATATCCAGAAGCTTTCCTTCACTGGATGCCATGTGTTTACCTGTACTGAAGTGAAGAAACAGTCTCTCGTGTTGATATTGTGTTTAACAGGCAAGATGACAAACACTGGGCCATACCTATGATTCAGTGTCATCTTCAGATAGTGTAAAATCAGGTTGTTTCCCTTCCCCCCCGCCCCCCCCCCATCCAATTCTTAGATTGATTTTGAACTGGCCTCTAGCTTGTGTTGAAAGACCTGGTGTCTTTGGGCAGAAATGTGTACACACTTTGGTCAACATCTTCATTACTAAGTAAATTCAAGTCTTGTGTTCTTCAAGACTGCATACCCTGTCCAAGTTACATGTTAAGTTATATGACCCCTCTACACATGGAAATCCCCTGAAGTTGCACATATAACAAGCGTATAGAATAGAAATGAGCTATTCATGTGACATTGAATATTGTGAAATGTCCATAAAGTAGTATGAAGATTCTGTATCTGTAGGAGTTCTCTATTTCCTTAAAAATCTGAGTATTAACCTATTATACATTTTTTGCTTACATACGTGCTCTTTTTCAAGTTGAAGCAAACTTAATCACACAAAAAAAAATCCATCACTGACAGGTTGGTTTTCTGTCAGGAGAAAATAGGTATTTTCTGATTTTTTTTTTTTAATACATCTGAAATCCACTTATCTGTTCAAAGTAAAGTTACAACATTTCAAGTAATTGGGAGAAACCTTCTGATCGTTACGGAATCAGTTAGATGGTATATTAATAATATTGTCCATCCATAAGATTACCTGTACACTGTGTCTTATTATTTCAATTTAAATATACACTTTTGCTGTTTCAGAATCTGGTGATAAACTGTAGAACTAACCAACACTTGCCCTTGCTATAGTTTCTGAAACTATTTCTAATGTTTGAGTGAGCATTAAATGATATTATTTCAGATATTGGTCATTGTTGTCTTCCTTCTCCTCCTTCAGTTAACAGAATCATTAGATTATTTTAGTGTGTTTGGGTTTTTTAATTTGGTTTTCTTAGGCATCTCTTTGTATGCCTACTGAAGGAATACAGTTATACCTGCTGCCCTAAGCTAATGTGACTTTGTTATACCGTGACTGAAGTTAGACTCAGCATGTTTTATATAAAACTGTTTGTTTTATATAAAAAATATATGTATATTGCTCAGAAGAGGTTAAGAGTCCAATAGAATCTAACTGAAACCTATTCTTCTCCATGTTCTGTTCCTTCTGTGAACCAGATTGTTTCCTTCTTAACAGACTGGAAGTACCCTTTGAATAACTTATACATACTCAAATATTACTGCATGGTATAAGAAATATATACGGTGCCCAATGGGTATCGCAGTTGGATTGTTAAGCATGTGCCAAGGACATTTCTGCTCGTATGTCAGTTTGGAGACAAATCCTGCAGCAGCAAACTAAAGCTAGCCTTAAGGCACCATATAAAATACTACAGATTACTGATTTATCAAGTGACAGTAACTAATGACAGGGAAGAAATGCCCTCTTCTTCTAAGTCATCCCCTCATGTAAAAGTATCCTCAACAACCTGTTAAGCAAAGCAGCACTTAGTTTTTGTACAACAATTGGTGTGGCCGGTCTCCATACTTCAGCAGCTGGTCTGCAGTGGTAATTCCCAGCAATCTCTACACACCATAATTCTCAGTGATCTCTGCAAGAGTCAGGAATCCTCAGCAGATGCCCAGGATCAAATGGTAGGAGATGAACAGGGGACTTCTGCAGAGAGTGTTTCCTCTTATACAGTGTGAAAGGGAGTTGCATGTACGACTACTTTACAGCTATCTGAAAAGTGAAATTATGTTTAACGGCAGTGAAGCAGTCGAACCATGCTAGAAGTTCACATACTTTAAAGAAAAAGTTAATTTTTATTTTCTTTTACCCACAGGTCTACCCACGGATAGCGCCGGCATTTTGGCACTACCTGCGGGTAGAAGTGAGTAGCGGGTGTTTGAATACTCCCACATCTTTACTTTACAGCTTACTACTATTTACTGACCTCCTAGTTTGTCCATTGTGCAAAAATAATTAGCTCCCATTCTAGCTGCCATTTTCTGTGAATGTAGTCTTGTACCAATTACATATTATTTTGACTACACTGTAATTACTAACCCAAGACACAAAGATGTGATGTGTTTATATGCAATATTAAAGACAAAAAATTGAAATCTAAGCCAAGGCCATATCATACATTATGACTATAGCACAAAATCAAAGTACAGAAATCCATACCTGCACCTCCTTTTATAAACATGTTTTACATTCATGAGAAGAATGTGGAGCTTCAGTTCTGCTATATCATTTTTGCAAAGTTTGTACAACTCAACTTGATATCGTTTCTCCCCTCTTTTGTCCCTCAGGAGCATGAGCAGCTCAGCTATTCCTCCACAAGGTCCAAGGCTCCAAGTGTTATCATCACAGGTCTCAAGCCAGCCACCAAGTATGTATTTCACATCAGAGTCAGGACGGCAGCAGGATACAGCGGCTATAGCCAGAAGTTTGAATTTGAAACTGGAGATGAAAGTAAGTTTCACTGAAGGAAAAAAAGTCAAATACAATAGAAGTAGCATCTATTTCTAAACCAGTGAGATACTGGGAGTTTGAATGGCTGAATCCATACCATTTGTTTATCACAAAATGTCCAATGCTGTGTGAAGGAAGCACAGCCAGGAAGCACAACAAGGAAGCCTACCCTCATACTTCTGGATTTATGTGCAACAAATAGAAATTTTAGCCCAACACTGCAACTGAAGGAATGTTTTCTTCCACAAAATTTCCTTATGGGTCCCTTCCAACTTGAGATACTCTATAATTCTATGATACTTTCTTTGCTTAAAGAAGGCCTTCCTTTTCATATCTAGAAATGCCCTTAGTCAGGATTTAGTCCTTAGTCCAGCAGCTTCATACAAGCTCCCAGAACACAGTGATGGAGTCGTTTCTGTGCTTTCAGTGCTCTCAGACAGTACAAATAAAAAATATGTATATATTTAAGTCATGTATTGCCCTCCATGTTAAAGCAAACTGCAAAGTATTTACAAGCATTTGAAACAAAATTAGTGTAGTAGATACAACACTAAAACACTCATTAATGAAATCATTTTAATTAACCAATTATGTATACCATGTTTTTCATTAGTGTTTTAGAATTCAAGTTGCTTAAGCTAAAGTACAGACTCAAAACTATGTAAGTGTTTTCAAGAGCACCCATGGGGTTGTTTTCCATTTTCATTGCTTCTTAACTCCCATTTCAAAAATGTTTTAGGGACAGATTTCCAAGTGCTTAATTGGACTTTTTAAAATTTTCTGGGTACTTCAGCCAATTGGTTTGAGTAGGAGTTGAGCATTTGGGTGCTTTTAAGAATTCCAGTACATCCAGTCTGCATCTTCTGTTGCAATAAATACTAGGCTTTAGGCACCCAAGGACCTAGCTCTTACTAAAATTAAATTATATTTAAACCTCTATGAGCAAACATGAACCTCATGTTTGTGAAAATGTGACTTACCCATCTAAATCAGGAAGTGGTTCCAGTGGCCTTTCACTCATTGGCACTGCTGAGAGAAACATCCCCAGGGAGTGAGATTCCACCCACTCCTTCCTAGCCCCACATCTCCTTGGGCTGCATGGTAAGCTAGAGCTCACAACACTCTTAAATATTTATTACCTCTATTACTTCTGAGTACCCAGTGTGAATCTTGATAGTGAAACGTGCACATTATATATTTGATGTTTACCAACATGTACTGCTTAAGCTTCTGCCCGACTAAAAGTATTTGATTTGTTATAAATATAAATCATTGTGTGATTGAAAGGAAATGTAGAGAGAAGAGATTTTGTTAATGATCAATTGAGATGGAGGTTGAGAAATTCTGATGCTGTTTGAAATGGTACCTGGAGCTAGATGAAGACTTCAGTTTAATTAAAAGGGTAATTCAAAGGACTGTGGTCTTATTCAAATATTTATACAGTGCTGCAATAGATTTCAAAGAGAAAAAAAAGCAAAGTTAACTGCCTGCTGGTAAATATTACTTATTTCAAATTGAAGCAGTACTCAGTGACCAGTCAAATTATGCCTCCAAATGTCTTACTTCCTCACAGCTCCAAATATCTTGCTTCCTCACAGCAGTATTTTTAAAATTGGCCTATTCTAAACTTGTGACCTTTTTCTGCCAAATTAAAAAGCCAAACACAGGAATCTGTTCCTCATCTAAATATGTGTATGCCATTTTTAAGAATTCTCTTGTCCTTCCCATAAGTGATATAAATTCTGCCTCTCTAAAAAAAGCAGTTTTTCCAATCATTGAATCATTTTGTTGCTCTCCAAAATTTTAACATCCTTTTTGACGTATACCATCAGCACTGAACCTGATACTGAATTAAACTGGCAAACTAAATCTGTTTGTGATGCCAGAAGCAGACCTAACACCGCTTACCTCCTTATAATTCAGTTTTCTTTTACTTACAGGTCTTGTAAGAACTTGTTGCCTGAACTAGACCATTGTCTCACACAGATGAATAACTAGAACATAGCAACATTTTCTTAGTACCATTGTGTTCCAAGATACTGACCTGCATCTAGATGAAGGGACTGGGGAGCATTGTGTTGAGACTTGGGCTGCAAAGTTATATCAGTACACATAAATGTTAATTCGCCCTTGCTGGCATGCATCTGTCTTACACACCAGTGCAAGTCAAGCTGTGTAGGAATCTATCTTCATGATTTGCTACTCTGACAGTATGGAGATCAGCTGGAAATTTTCTGATTTATTGCTCTATATTCTTCTCAATTATTCTGAAAGATACCAAATAATATTAGACCAAGGCAGGTTATTGCAGTTTCTTCCATCCCCAACCATTAGAAACAAGTTACCTGGTGAAAATTTCACATTTGCAATTACTTTTTGTGGTCTTTCACTTAGCCAGATTTCAACTAATTTGTGAGCTATATGATTTTATATAAAGTTAACATTTTCATTAGAAGGTTGGGAAGAACAGAGTCTTTTAGAATTTATCATTATTAATGGTGGTACATGAAGCAGAAAGAAAGCCAACTCTGTAGAGGTAATGAAAAAACAGTTAGTTAATCATGCAATGTTGATCAGGTTTTTGGGAAGCACCCTGACTTACTGACCAGCTGACTGAGGCCACCATTGCTTGGGGATGATGTTGTTGAACTCTCCTCCCTGCTGCACAGACTAATAAATGGAACACCTGAAAGAGGAAAATTTGTAAGGTTTTCTGTGAAAGGAAATGGAGTTACCTCGAAAAGTCAGAAGAATTCTCTTCAAAAAAGCAGGGATGAGTGAATAGATGTTGTCAGGCATTTCTCCCACTGTTAAAGCTAAGAGGCTGCTGCTGGGAAATGTAATACCTTTGCATAGCATAGTAACTGGGGCTTTTGACCATGTTACTTATCCATTTGATTCAGTCTCCCTGTTTCAGCCCCTTCCAGGCAAAACACTTCTAGCAAAGCTGACAGGGTTTCATGCACTTCAGCACACAGAGGTGTACCAGTGCTGTGGCTCTGCATTGGACCATAACCTCACTCATAGTTCCTCCTTTATGTATCAGTAGTTCCAACCATCTGAGTCCCCACAAAGCTCTGGTCCTTCCTGGGACAGAATAAAATGTATTCTGAGAACAAAAAAACATTTGTCCCAGGGCAAACTTGCTTTAATATCTACCTGTTTCTCTCTCCCTCCTATTTCTCTCTCTCTCTCTCCTAACTAGCTGTTTACAAAAGACTTTTTTCATTTGGTTGGTTTAAAAAAAAAAAGAAAAATTATTCAAAGCGTTCTTTTTTCTGGAGGAATGTTTTTTACTATATCACCCCAGAGATCATTGTGCCTAGAGGAATTTGTAAAATATTGAACAGTTTTCAGCTGTTAGACAGTTCAGTGTTTTCATGCTGTAGCTCTCTTGCGCAGGGCTTGTTCTACAACTGGGGGTATTTTCCATTTTTTTAGGAAAAAAAAAAATCTGAAAGGGAACTAGTTTGCTTGTTCCAGAAGGGACCTATGGGGCAACCTAGCATGTGTGAAATGTGGACTAGTGCTTGGGCTGAACAGACTGGTAAATGAAAGCACATGATGATTTTTCATCCAAAAGCAATGTGGACTTTTGTACGCTTCAAATAAATTATATTAACAATAAAAAAAATAAAAATTCAGAAATGGCTGATGGAATACCTGATTAGGTATTTTATAAATTTGAAGATGGTGAAAAATTAATTGGCCTGAAATCCTGATCTTGATAAACTATAACTTTAATTTCTTTACCATAGGCACAGATGGGGACTTTCTTGTATTGTCAGATTTGCTGAATTCTCACATTCTTCCTCCTCTTCGCACATCCACAAAACCTATCGTTAACTTTTCAGCCTCAAATCATGCTATTTGGGATTTACCACCAGATGCAATTTAGACACAGAGCTCGATTCATTCCAGAACTCCAAGGCGCAGGAGTGGGGTACTGAATCATTGATGCTGATAGAAGTCCAATATTGTTTGAAGCACATGCTCTGGTTCATGCCACAACAGAGAAGCTGTACCTAGGTTTTTCAGAAATACATTGAATTTCCAATGCAAAATGGCAATTTTTTTGTTAGACTGTTTGATGTTTTGACAATAGTACATTAAATTTCTGGTTGAAACAAACATATGAGATGGCACATTTAGAAACTGTCTTGCTGGCTCTCTCCCTATATCTGCCTAGTTCTACTGTTCATTCAGTAGTTGTCAGCACTGGATACCTCAGAATGTCTTATTTTAGCCTTGAAGTATTTCCTCACTGTGTTGTATATTTTCAGCCATTTGTTCTTCAGATTTTACTTTGGTCTATCTGATTTCTCTACTGTATGTGCCCAGAAGCCCCAGAGACCACTTTTCCTCTGCATTTCCTAAACAAGAGCAACATCCTTGCACAGATCCCGAAGTGCTTGGACAGGCTTTCTATTCATCCACCGGTCAGGGAGCCAATGCTAGGGGAAACAGTTGGAAGCAGGATATTCAAGCGAATACATACCAAAAGGTTTTACATTCTTATGCTAGTGATGGCATTATTTTTCCCTTTTAAGTTCTTTTTAATATTGTCTTTCCACTGCCTCCTCCCTTTCCCACATTCTCCCATAGATCGGGGCCCATCATCTCACTGGAGCACAGGAACTGCAGCACTTCTGAAAATGTAAAGGTTACCCTAATTAGACTTTATATTTTTATTTCCTATTGTTCTTAGGCGCTGTTATTTACAATGCCTTGTAAATCCATCTGACAGCCAGTTCCTGTCTATTAGAAGTCCAGTTCTCACCACCCACACTTGCCTATCTTACAGCTTCTCAACATTATCTCTCTAGCTGTCTTTCTGTCACCTTTTTATCTTTCAGTTTGCTGGAAGGTCCGCTGACTGAGAGATGTCAAATTGAAATAACTAAAGGATGTAGCTAAGAGATGGAAGTGAGCTGTCACTAGGGCTTCCAGCCTTTTTATGCCAAATACACAACCTTTTAAAAGATTTTGCAGAAATTTGCTCAGAGAAAAGAAAGGAGAACAGAGATGGGAGATTCTCTCTGTCTTTCATCCTATTGCACTGTGACTAAAATGTCTACACCATTTCTTCCAGTCTGCTCAGTTAGGAAGTAAAGAAGCCTCAGGATATTTCCCTTCCGCGAAAGGAGAAGAGGGAAAGTGCAGCTCCTCCTCCTTCACACATTTGCCTGAAGAACCCAGACAGGAGCTTAGACAAGGCATAGATGTAAAGAGTAGATAGTGGGGACAGAACTGACACCAGGCTTGATGCAGAAGGGTTTTCTGGGCATGGTGTTAAGCAAGGAAGCTGGAACGATGCAATTAGACGTTTTAAAAATTGTTTAACCTGAGTTAAGCATGAAGAGTCACAGGAGCAAAGAGTTTATCTGGATAATATGCTTCTGGGTACATGTATCATACATGCTGCAGTTTTAAAATCAAATCACCACTTTGACTAATCACATTAGTTGCAGCTACAAAGTGTTTGAGGAGTTTTGTCACCCAAACTTTATAGTATGCTGTTTAATCATCGGCTGGGATGAGTAATAAATCCTCCCTTTTCCTTGTCTTATGCTATTCATTTTTTAAAGTATATTTTTATCAAAATGAACTTACTGAGCAGACGGGCAGAGAGAATGAAACATACTACCAGGCAAAACAGCCATCCCGTTTAGATAGGTACTAAGCTCCCTTGTGAGTCTTAGCACTGCTCATGGTTTACACATTCCTGTTCCACCAGCACTTCCTCACCCTCTTTCCTATCAACTTTAACTACAAATGGCATGTGGCCCCATGCATGTTACTGCTACATTCCTCCTTGTGATTACAGAGCTACTAACCATCCCTGCACTGGCCAGATTTGGGTGGTGCATAGGTGGCAGATATGAGACCATGCACTGGACACTGTAGAGACAATAAAATACTGATTTTAGCTATATGAATGCTGGCCATGTTGTCTAACAAATAAGATTCTGGAAAAAATCATATGTAATTCTAACATGTACACACTAAGAGATACGAAATAAGATTGCAGGAACCTGCTGGGCCTTACAACCTATCATAATTGGTTTTTAAACTGAGTTTTTCTGTCTTGCATAATCCAGAATAGTCCTGAGGAGAAACACAGGGTCATATACCAATATGCAGTGCCGATAGAGAGGGAAAATTAAGGAAGAAAAGGTAGGAAACAACAAAGAAGATTCAGGAACATGTACATCAGAAGCAAAACATGTTAAAGCTCTTTGTATTTACAACTCGAACTTTACCTTAAGAGAAAGCTGAAGAAATGAGGAAAGAGCAGATAGATGGAGGGACGTGCTGAATTTAATTTAGAATGGCAAAATGCTGTTAAAAAATTTATTATTGAGTGTCCCTGATTACTATCTTCTTACTGCCTAGGTAGTGTTTTAAGGAACCTTTAGCTGCGTGTAAGGAGTCCGCATATGTGCCCACACATGTACTTATATATGTGTTGTTCACTGCACTGTGCCTTTATTGATTTCTAGAAGGATCACTTCAAGCAAAAATAAGTATTTCCATCATTTTGCCTTACCTGCCTCTCTGGCAGTTTTTAACAAATCCACATTTTCCAATTATACTTGTCTGGCATTTGACATTTTTATCTGACAAGTAAATTAAGGTCATCAGGAAGTTTCAGACTTGAAAGTCCTTCAGAGTGATTTGGCTACTTGAAAAAAAAATCCTAATGTATTGAACTCTGGCACCTCTGCCAACACAGTAAAATACAAACAGGAGAAACAGAATGATCACTTTTTAAGTGCATTCGGTCTCAGCTAAAAACCATATTGCTTAGAAGTGGAAACACCTAAGTCAGTCTGGAATTTCTCCCCTTCATGAATTTCACTGGTTCTTAATAGAAAATATATGTTATTAAACTGATAGAGTCATTTATCTAGCTAAAACACTAAGAAAGAGCAGCTCCATTTAGAGCAAAAATTATCCAGGACATGTGACTTTATCTTCATGGATGCAGAGCATCTTTCTTTTAAAAAAAAAAGAGTCATCTGCAGTTTTTCCTCTCACTTCCATTGCAGAGATGGGCAAGACAGACTCACCTAAAACCTCATTCTCCATTAACCACCTCAAACTCTGCCTGGTCGTTAACAGTCTTCCCAGCACAGCCCCTGCTAGTCTGAAAATAGTATTCAGTGTTTGGTTTGGAGAGCCTGTTATTATTTGCATTGATACTTGTGTGGCATCATATTTATGTTGTATTTTTCCAACTAAATCTGACCCTGTGGAACATAACACAGTGCTGAGCTAGAATCCACTCCCATCATATCACTAGATACCATTTTGGAGATTAGCTGTTCAGTGAGTATTTGCTACATCACTTATTGGAAGATGTATATATTTAACTTGTCTGTGGAGAGCTTATGACCACAGACACTGAATGCCCTGTAATTTACTGCCTGTGCATATCTGCATTAAATTATATGGACAGAAACCTAATGGCAGAAATTTAACAAGTTGTTTCTGCTGAAAATTTGACGTAAACTACTATTGTTTTTATTTGCTTTACTACGATTACAAAGCCAGTTTACACTGCTAATTTCTAAATCACTCACAGATATTATTTCGAAGCCAAATGTTTTTCTTGGAAATAGCTGCTTTGAGCAGCAGTGCGTGCATTGTATTGGGCTTCATCAGCTGCAAAGTGATTTTTTTTGAACTTTTCTCTTTGCAGCAACCTAGGTGATTTCCCTAAACTTTAATCATCTGGTGCCTATGGGAAGCAGAAAATTTTGCTTGTAGAATGATTTGCAAGTTTACAAAATCAAAGTTCCTTTTCTGATAAATCTAAAATTTATTTCCTTTTTTATATTTACTACTATTGTCAGAGGTAATTGAATAGAATTATTTATTCTCCTTCAGAACAATGTTACGTTTCTCATGGAAACTGAAAGTAAGAATTATGTAAACCTCATGTGGTGAAAATGTTCAAGTGTAACTGAGTTTAAGAAATAAAACTTTAGACTCACAAGACAGGAGATCAAGAAAAAACTGAGCCTAATGTTTTTTTTCTGCTCACGTAGTACTTGGGCAGTGAGGACCAACCAGATTGTAAGTAGGTACTTTTTCAATGTAAAGATTTAATATTATACAGAATAAATTAATAAAAGAAACAAATGTCTAGAGACTGGATAATTTAATGTCCTCAAAAAACAGAGGGAAAAAACATGAGGCATAAGAAAATCAATATTTTTTGGTTTTCCACTACAATGTTGCCAACAGCCAGAGCATGTTATAGGTAAAACTGTAAACATTTTGTGACAGTAAAAATAAACAACAGACATACAGAGTAGCGTGTGTGGCTACACATTAAGTGTGCTTTTTCTGCTTTGCTTTCTCCTGAACCCAGTTTAATCTCTCTTACGTGCAGAGCACTGCTGCTTACTTCACTGGCACAGCTGGATGGAGAGAAGTTCTGAATTAGATTCAGGATTAAGCTAAATAAAGCAAAAGAAAAAATATGTTCTCGTTTTGTGTCCAAATTCCTGTCATACTCAAACTCAAGTAAATTGCAAGGGTCTGATAATGCCAGGTCCTCATTTTAAAAACCTCTGAACTTCATCTCCCCTTCACCATAGCTGGGACACGGATTGTTTTTCACTTTTCAGGTGTATTCACATCTGATGTCCTTGCTAAGCACCAAGGAAACTATTGCAGAGTAATTGCAAGATTTGACCAGTGAAATGTTATCACTCATTCTGCAAGAACCCTAGGTGACTAAGCTTTAACCTCTTTCCTTTGTGCTTCTCTTTCAGCTTCTGATATGGCTGCAGAGCAGGGACAGATTCTTGTTATTGCCACTGCTGCTGTTGGTGGATTCACTCTCCTGGTCATCCTCACTTTGTTCTTCCTCATCACTGGCAGGTAATTACAGTGTTCTCATTTTCTCTTGGTCAGAGCCATCCAAACTAAGAATTTAAGAATAATATTTAAGTCATTGACCACATTTTCAGTGCTAAAATAAGGATTAGGCATAGCGGAGTGAATGTCCTCTGGTCAGCACTGCTCAAACTAACAGTTGTGTTGTGGGTGTTGTTTTTTGTAAAAACCCAGTTTGGTGAGCTAAATAATTATGTGAAATTAGGAAATAGCCTGGCAGTTTTTAAAATAAGTTTCTAGACCTTTTGCCTGCAGAACAAGTATTTAAAAATACAATGTACCTGGACCCTCAAGGTTCTGACATTAGAAGACAAAAAAGAAACAAAAATCCACAGTATTTTTTACAGAATCTCATAACTGTCAGTTGAAAGTCTTTGGAGTGTTTAACTTTAGGATTTCTGGTGTCTTGGGGTTGGCAATGTCGCTTGCAAAAGATACTTGAGTGGACCTTTTTTTTATTACATTTACTATATTAAATTTGTATGAAGAATAATACATAATTATGTATATATTTTATATGCACATTTCTGCATCTGTAAAGAGAAAATATAGGAACTATGTAATGAAATAAAACTAAGGAAAACTTTACTCCAAAATTCTAGAATGATTCTACTGCCTGTGCATCATGGTTTAAACCAGCACACTGTGACATCACTGGTTAACTAAAAATAGCTTCCTGATCGTCCTGTTCTATTACTTTTCGCCTTTTTTTTTTTTAAATTGTGTTGAAGATATCTCACTTAAAACTATATTACAGCAATACTGTTGCACTGCCAGGTGAATTCACCAGTCTGGTTGATGATTATTTTTTATAAGTACACTGATTTTTATACTTATAATTCTTTTAGTGCAGTGCTGATTGTACACCTTCCTTCAGTTGATGCTGATCAGGATCAAACTATGACATTATGCAAATCAGATGAGAAGGCATTTTGATTTGGGTGGCCAGGTGCCATCTTCAGTTACACACTGAAGGTTTTAAAGGAACTCACAACTTGTAATTGGACTTGCTGAAACGCACACAGGGGTTGGAACATCAGGCCTTGCTGGAGGTCAGATTCCCACAGGAGTAGCTGCTTCCATGGTGCCTTGTTTCCTTTTTCACTGAGTGTTTCCTGTGTGATTTCATGACTTCATCTGCTTGCACCAGGAAGCAAAGCAGAATGTATAAGGACAAAGACAATATGTCCCTGTGTTCTCTCTGAGACATCATTGACCAGTCAGTCTACCTTTTTCCCCTCTCCCTCCTTCAGACTTATAAAACATCTGATGGAAGAGCCTCCAAGTGAGGAGGATTCTCCATGGAGTTTCCTTCCTACCTGGCTTGGGGACAGAAAAAATTCAGAATGGGGATGAGGTTCTGCACTATTCCTGTCCTGGTTAAGAGTCGGTGTTCACTGACTCCTCTGAATGTGATAATGTTGATCACAGATGGGGCTGATATCAGTAAATGGTGCTGCATTTTCAGATTTTAATTAAGTTTTTGTTGGTATAGCATTACCCCTAATTTGAAAAGAAAGTGAAGTCCTACCAGTGGAGGCTGGAAGTTTTATTTGCAGTACCCCAGCAACCAAATATGGCACTACAGTAGCCACCATTTGGTGAATTAATGTTCTTGCCACTAGGTAATTAAACCAGTTAAGTATAACATTCTGTTGAAGTTAATGGGAGCAGTTAACATTGGAACATATTGTGACCTTAGATAATCTTAGGGAGTAAGTAAATATTCCTATGATTACTACAAACACGGACACACGGTAGGCACTTGCAGAAGAGAGAGGAATTCTTCAGACAAAGACAAACTTTCAGAGAATATGATTGTGTGGAATCCTTACATGGAATCCTGAAACATAACTCAAACATTTCCTTTAGAAAAAAACTCACTAAACTCAAGAATGAGAAAGAAAAAAACATGGAAATGGGTTTCTTTCTGGGTTTATTCCTCCTGTTTGCTAATGTTAAGTATATCAGAGATTCTCTTAGCTTTCTAACACCTTACTCAATGGGACCATTTCAATTATGTAAGATACGAATTCATTTTGAAGTGCTACTTAAATGCAGTGATAAGAGTGTGTTCCGCAGAAGACAGAGCAAGAAAATTTTGAATAAATACTCAATTTACTCTAGGACTGGAGGCAAATTTCTGTGTGAAAAATGGGATTGGTACCCTACAGATGTGCTCTGCTTCACTGTTTAGAATTAGCAATTTGATGAGCTGTAGAGTGACAGGGCTGCTGATGAGTCTATTCATAGTGGAGAGGCTGGGTTAAATGAGCACCTGCCTCTGCACTTTGCGGCGTGATTATCCGCCATGAGCAAGCAGGAAGCGCGGCTGTCAATTGCAGATAGAAAAATGAAAACGACAGTGACTTCGAGGCGCGGGATATGCAGTGAGATGCGGGTCTTGGCTAAATTCCAGGAAATACAGTGTTAAAGCTCAGCGTGATATATTCTTACTACAAAAACTATTTCTCTCCGATTGCTCAGTAGCCAGCGCTAATAGGGAATGGGGAGATGGAGCTGGAAGACTCCTCTGTTGGTGATTACTCACTGGCTTCTGTAGCCAAACTCTGGTGCCACCTGCATACTTAGGAGGATTGGACAGGGTTAAAGCCTTGTTTCTTAGCCTGTTCCCTTGAGCAGACACTTTAAGTGTAAGGGCTTGTGTTCAGTGTCCTTGGCAGTTGGCAACCTACAGACCAGTTGTTCAGGTCCTAAAAATGGCACTGGTGTGCTTAGTGGTCCCAGCAGCTGTGTACAGTCTAAAGGTTTACACAGAAACTGGGAAGCCACTGGTTGCTCTTTCCGTCCGTAAGGGTACCTAATCATGATAGCTTCGGGACTTTTTGCCCTTCAGGCATTTATCATCACCTCTGGGGCAATTAATGAATTTGTGAGTGTTTCAGTACTTTAAATGAACCATTGACATGAGGTGTGTTCAAGTATTTCTCTTATCTCTGTTGTTAATATTTTATTGGATATACTATCTATAATTACCATTTATTTTATTTTATAAGGTTGGTAGTGAACACACAGAAGCCAGTCATTTTTTCAAGCTCATCTTGGATCTGAATGTCTGCACACCAGAGCTCATGTCCACATGCAATGCTGTTCTGCACTGGGGTCAGTGCCCCAACACTCTTTAGCCCTTAGCCTAGCCCTTAAAGCAAAAGGTTGCCCTCTAAATGATACTTCTGTGGCTGTTCAGTGAGTGAGAAAGATCTTTAAGACCAAGAGCAAATATTTGTTTTTTCTTGGCTGAAACAGTTGCTCCTATCATGTGACCCTTTAAATCAGCACTAATAGTCCCACAGGTCGGCAGCATTCAGGCTGGGGGAGATTTCATTACAGGGAACCTGAAAGCTTGCCATGTGGCAGTTTTCTCCAACATACCCTTGCATCATCAGGTAAGGTCCCTAACAATTCATGAACATCCACAGAGTTTTGTGTTCTTTGCTAAGGATTGGAAATTCTATAGCAATCATACAGGTGTGTGCTAAATCATCATATTCACATACTAGGCTATGTATTGTTTATCCTGTATGATAGCTGCTGGCTCAGAAGAAATGATAAGTCGGTGCCTGGCTCAGATTGCACAGATCTGCTCAGGGAAAAAAAAAAAAAAAAAAAAGAAAACCACCACAAAAAAAACCACACACACAAAAAAAAAGATGGTCCTGATGTGAAAAAATACTTTCTTTTTTCAAGAAACATGGTGAAGACGTAGAAACTATTATCTTACGAAGAAAATGTGAGGGTTTTTTGACACACTGGGTGTGCACATTGATAAGATAAGGTTTAATTGACACTAACCAATGTATGCAAACAAGAATGCAAGGAAGCAATAATATATTAAACAATAATATATTGAGCAATAATATATTAAAAGGTTTCTTCAGAGAAGTCATACTTGGAAATAAAATACTTCATCAGACTTTAACTTAAGTAGTTGCTTTCATACTAATCTTTCAACCATGATTTATTTCTATTTGTATTAAATCTGTTTGTGGTTCTTCATGCGTATTTCTCTTTTTAGGGTCATAACTAAAAACATATCCCAAATGAAAATATTTTGGCTTTCATAAAGGTGCAGATAAACCTTAATATACATTTGTTTTATGCATGACGTATTTTAATTAAAACCTCACCTGTTTTTCTTAAAAGATGCCAGTGGTACATAAAGGCCAAAATGAAATCTGAAGAGAAAAGAAGGGCTCACTTGCAAAATGGCGATAGTAAGTAATTCAGTACTGTTACATAGTATCTATACTGTGTTTTAAATGTTCATTGTTTTCTGTACAGCTTTTGACCTTGATGTTTTAATCTGGCCGTTTGAATAATTCCTTATTTTCTGCACCATCAAGGGTTTTGATTTTTATTTGTATGTCCTCTTGAGTTAATAAGGTTTTTTGGTATTCCATTAATATTATTTATCAGGTTTTTAAGTATATTTCTTTGAATTCTCAACTGGTCTGAACCACATTGCATTTCTGCCTCAAAATTCCATTTTTGGTGACTATGTGCCTTGTTTATGTCCAGACCCCTTTGGCTTTCAGGATCTACGCTTCCAGTCACCCAAGAAATAAAATGTGGAATGGGTTACCTTCCCTAATGTTCCAGCTCACTGATCAGTACAGTGAAAGAAAATCCTGGCAATCTCTTACGGGCACTTTATTAGTTTACTTAGTTTAGTTTAGCTACTCAGTTTAAATTACTAGCCTCACTGTTTTATGTTAGAGTAGCTATTTAAGGTTTTTATTCATTCAAAGGGTATTATAAAAAGGGTGGGGTTTTTTTTCATTTTTTATAACATCCCTGGGAATACTATGAACAAGACAGAAGCTAAATCACCAAAAGTGAATTTTTTTTTCAGGTGACACTGCTATATCCAGCCAAGTAGCTCTTTCTGTCAAGGAAAAGGGCACATTTCCCCCTAAAGGATACTCCCTAGGAAGATTTGTTTGTCATTTGTTTCCAAACATGGTCAGAAAGGAAAGAAGACACAAACCTTCCTGATGGAGAGTTTGATATATATCTCACAGACCGTGACTGATTTTGAGAAAAGCCTCACTCAGTGTCTTTCAGTCCAGGGTAAATGATGCTGTATTTCATGTTGACCAAGGCTTCATCTCAGAGTTCTCTCAGCATCAGACTTGAGTGGGCAAGTCTACTTATGTATGTGCTCCATAGAGCCAAGGATAAAGGGGAATTACTGTGATTTACCCCAGCATCTAGGACTGTATTGACAACAATATTCCCTCCTTTACACTGAGCACTCAGTGCCTCCCTAAGAAATACTCCCTCCTAGTATGGTGCTAGCAGCACCCGTTAGCTGACTGCTGACTACTGTACATTTGGTATCCAGCATCTCAGCTTGAAACAATATGTGGGGCTGCTCAGGCTCTGCTGGTGTCAATGTAAGGGTGACCTCTCCTAGACTGACTGAGGCTGTTTAAAAATAAAAAAAGCTTCACTGCAAAGCCTGCACTGGTTAGCATTGCCTGTTCCTGTTCCCAGATCTGTTGTGTTCACGCTTTACATCCTATGTTTCTGCTGTGTGCAGGAGACGGTCATCTCCTGTTCATCCTTCCTCTGCCCCTTGAGAGCTTGGTGTGAGTCAGAAAAAGATTTCAGGAAATAAACTCTTTGAAGGGAACTAGAAAGATGTTCATGATCTTACAGATAATAGGACCTCCCATGATGTCTGGTGTCCTCCCCATTTCTGTATGGTGTGTACACTCTGTGCAAATGGCTGTTGCTCACTACTTAATGAAGCCCAGCCACATTCATATATCCTGAACATGTTTTCCTCACCTAATACATTTAGGCTTATCAGATAATGATCTGCTTTAGACACAGCTACTAAGTGATAAGAGGAAGAAGGCTGAGAGGTACTTAATTCTTTAAAAGAGGTTCTCCGGACCCAGCTGCAGTATCATCCTCTTATCCTGTTAAGTTGATGCATTATCTACATCAAATTCTGTTAATGAATTGAAAATTTTCCAGCACTTAGTCAGCACATGGCAGCAGCCTAAAAAAATTCCAGTCCGGATAGTCCAAGAGAAACAACGTAAATTCTTGGACATGCCATAATCAAGAACATGAGGGATATTAGCCATGCCAGAAAACGATGGCTTGCTGGAGCCTGCCAAAGCAGTCTGGCACCAACCCACCATTGCCACAGCCATCTCCAAGGAAGCAGAGAGAAATTATTGAAGCCCTGTGAGTGGATTTGGATATTTTTGTTCTCGTTTTGCACCTGGCTCTCTGGTTGTTCCAGCTGATCAGAAGAGAACAAAACAGCACAGTCCTCCAGGACCCATCCTCAGAGGAAAGAATCTCAAAGATTGGATCTGTTTGGCAAAAGGAATGTTCAGCCATCGGCCCATAAATGAAAGGAGTGAATTAGGAAGCATTCTTTTCAAACTAAAGGACAGATTGACTAAGTTGCCCAAGGAGCCGAAAAGGGGTATATAAACTGCTTTGGCAGTAATGGCTGTTAGTCTTCAGGACTGGCTTTCCCCCGTATCTTTGAGCCCTCACTTCGTGTCTCTATAGATGCCCTTTCAAGTGACCATATTTTCTCTTGTGACTTGCTGTATTTTCCAGGTTTATCAGCTGTACTTAAAGCATTTCTTAAGGATGTGAGCTAAGTGCAGAGACTCCAAGGAGCCTCTTCAGACTAAAATACTAAATAGCATTTGGAAAGGAAATACTTACAATTAAAAAAAAAAAAAAAATTGAATGTATTTTATCTTACCCCAAACAGCATTTTCCTTAAAATTTTGCTAGGACTGTTATTTTTTCCCAGGGAGAAGTTTTCAAAAACTTTATTTTCCTCTTAATTTTTCTGCCTGAAATTCTGTATCTAGGGAGATGCTTGTGTTCAGCTGGCACAGAGACAAAACAGCCTAAGAGTTTGACACTGTCATCACTTAAATACCAAAGACTGAGTTTTTCTGAAGGCCTTTGACTTTTTGTTCCCATGGAACAGGATAAATCCTGGGACCTGTGTAACTGGCAAACATGACAGTAACTAGAGGTGTAAATAACATTCAGAGAACCTAATATCCGTATTTCCTCTCTTCTTTACACTAACTGCTGTTTATCGGTTATCATTGCAAGCTGAAAGGATGTTTGCTGTAACAATGCACTGCAGCAATCCTGAAGAAATATCCAAGCTTTCAGTCACCCAGAACATCTCAGGAGATTTGAGCAGGGTGCAGTGGAACCCTTGGTCACAGTTTCAGCCAGTATTTTGAATGCTTTTGCTAGTGTTGGGTTGGCAGAGGCTTGTGCCCTGTCTATGGAGATTTTACACCCAGCTCTTTAATGTCTCACAAACCTCGCCTAAAAAAACTATTTGAAGGACAAGAGGAATTGCTTAAGCCTGTGCCAAGCCAATCTTTGAAGGCCCTGGTGTTGCCAGCACATGGGAACGACTCGTGTGCATTTTACAGTTGGTTCTGTGAAATCAGTAGCAAGCATTAGTAATTTTGGGTCATTATGCTCTTCCTTTGGGTGCTGGGATTTTAAATGTGTAAATGTGGAAGAGTTAATATATATTATTTCAAATCCTTTCAATTGTCTAGTCAAAAAAAAAAAAAAGGGAGAAAACAATATTGTTACAATGCATGAATATCAAAGAATGCTTAATTCCTAGTATTCTCTCTTTTTTACAGTACCTTTCCCAGGAATCAAAACATACATTGATCCAGACACCTATGAAGACCCATCTCTTGCCGTCCATGAGTTTGCAAAGGAGATAGATCCTTCAAGAATTCGTATTGAGAGAGTTATTGGGGCAGGTAAAAGCACACCCACTTTAAAAAATGTCTAGACATGTATAGGCTGCTTTTCTCAAGTCACCAGGATGATGCTGGTGGTCAGGTAAAGTACAAAATACGGGCATATTTCTCTGATAACACCAGTTCACTCTCAAGGGATGTGTACATGAGGTATCGTATTTGGCTAATGTTCCAAATGTGGGTATATTCAAATAAGGAGTTCTTGAGAGGCAGATTGTCCAAAGTGATAGGTTTATCCCAAACCTTTTTTAAGGCTTTACCAATTTTTTGGATGGTGTTGGGTTTTTTTGGGGGAGGGTTGGATTTCGGAGAGGTTTTTTCTCTGTTCCAAATGCACCCAAAACACTGTGTCACTCAGTGTTTGCCATAGTTAGTGTCACATATTTTCTGTCACTGAGTAGGAGATTAGATCCAAATCTCTTTCTGTGGGGAGATAGAATCAGAATATAGAAGAATGAGCAAAAAATACTCTCAAATAGAGAATAGGAGGTGTACAAGGGAGAAAAGGAGAGGCTGGCTTGGGTCAGTCTTTCCTGTAGCTGTGTGGAGAAGGATCATTGGCAGAGAGGGGAAAGAAGAAGCTCTGATGAGAAGGTGTAGACATCATGACCAGTGATGTGAAGCTGGTAAGCAGGATGAATGGGAAAAATAGCTGCAGTTCTCCTCTTACATCCCTATTTGTTCAATAGTGTGGTGGGAACAGAGAAGATTTACATCTAAACAATTGTTTCAGACCCTGTTCTCACCTGTGGGGTATTTACCTTCAGTTGACAACATCTCATTGAGGATGTAGGCCATTTCACAACTGTTTGAAAATAAGTTTCAGAAGCTCATTCATCCTGTGTGTATATTGGCCTTTTTTTTAAGGGAGATAACATGCCCCTTGCGTTTTCAGGGATCTTACCCTTTGCTAATGTGCTACGTTTATAGGCATGCCTATTCTGTGCCTGAAGTGTTATCCCCTTGTCTTAGCTTTGGTTTAATTGTCAGGTTTTGCTATTCAGAAAAGTGCTGTGCAAGTGTTCCCACGCACTCACTTTTGGAAAGCCTTTTAAGGGATACAGGCTCATGGCTGCTGTCTAGAGTTCACTAGAGGTCCTGGTGGCAGCTCAGTGCTGACAGAAAACAGACCTTTGTGGTTAACACAACAAAAGTGAAATACCTGAAAAGATCAGAGTCTTGTAAAAGCATTTCCTGTAAATTTTGTCCTGGCTCTCTAGGGCAGACAGCGCTTCATTATTGACCAGGCCCTGAGATTGTTGGCTCTCTCTTTCACCCAGCTGTAGTCTACTGAGGACTTAGAGAGACAAGGCTAAAAAAGGGCCCTACAAAGTTACCTAACTAGTGCATGTCACTGCATGGCTTGTGACAAACATCATTCAGAAGGCCCACCAACATTGTTCACAGTTGTAAAAAATTAAAACAAAAAAAACCAGACTTGACAAGGAGAGTCTGACATTCCTGTGATGCATTACATCTTCTGTGTTGTTCCCTGCACGCTGATAGTGGCTGGAGAGCGTTAATTGGTTCTCAGCCCCAACAGGAATGGAAGGTGGGAGAGCTAAGAGTCTGTGTCAGTTGTGATGAACATAGGAACAGAATCCTGAGCTCTAATTCCAGCTCTGAAATTTTACTTTCCTCTGTAAGAGACATTAATGCTATACCTGTCTTCAATTTGCACAATACAGATACTTCTCTGTGTCCTTTTGATACTAGGAGTGGGTTTTTTAAATTGCTGCCTTAAAGGTACTTACAATACTGACTACACAGATGGTTTGGATTCACCTCACTGTAATTTTATTTCAGTAGCAATAATTAGTATGTTCCATATTCCAATGTCCATCTTTGAGCTATCAATTCTGGGCTTTCTTTAGCAGTTCTGTTTTAGTACTAAGTGTTGTGGTTTAGCCCCAGTAAGCAACTGAGCACAACACTGCCACTTGCTACCTCCGTCCTACTCCCCCAGTGGGACTGGGGAGAGAACTGGAGGAAAAAGATGAGAACTTGTGGGTTGAGATAAGAGCAGTTTAATAATTGAAAGTAAGTGAAATAAAATAATTATACTAACATTAATAATAATAATAATGATATGTAATGAAAACTGAAGGAAAACAAAATTGTAAAACTGCTCACCACCAGCCGACCAATTCTCAGCCAGCAATTTTCCCTCCCAGCCAACTCCTCCAACTTACATACTAAGCATGATGTTTGGTGGTATGAAATGCCCCTTTGGTCAGTTTGGTCAGCTGTCCAGGCTGCGTCCCCTCCCAGCCTCTTGTAGAGGAGAAGCTGGGAACATGGGGGAGGCACCAGAAACTGAAACTTGATACCAACATTGCTTAGCAACAGCTAAAAACAATAGTGTGTTATCAATATTCTTCTCAGCACAAATCCAAAACACAGCCTCGTACTAGCTACTGTGAGGAAAATTAATGCTGTCCCAACTAAAACCAGGACACTAAGTAAATGCAAATGGTTTTCTTTTTAACCTTATTTACTTTCTCTAACTTCAAAGCCATCAAGAAAAAATTGCTATCAGAAGGCGTAATGCACTGTGATCATTCTTTTTTATTGTTGTTTCACATATCTTAGATAACCAAGAAATGAGAGGTATTCTTGAGTTCCCTCATGTATTGATATTTTACTATACTGATAGCAATGACAATGTCCCCAGTGTTGCTAAAGTGTGTTTTATGCACTAGAAAATGTCATGCAAATAATATAACAGAAATAAAACCCAGCCTGTTAACAAACAGGGGAGAGAGAGTGTCAGCTTGAAAGTAAGAGATCCTGTTTCACGCTGCAGTCCATATCACTAGAGTACTTGAGTTTAACTGATTGCTTAAGCTAGATAATATGTAGCTGGCACTGTGCACCATTGGAATTATGGGCTTGAGAGAGCCCCCAGAGGGCTGACTTCTGCAGAAAACATTCTATCTGATTTCTTTTATTTCTTCCTTTTCTTCAGACACTCTATAGATATTGATGTCTGAGATTATAACGCATATTGAGCTACATTCTGCACTGGTATAACTGCTGATTTCAAAGGAGTTGAATACGACAGACAAGGATTGCGCTTATTGATTTTAGTTCAGATGAAAATTGTGTCCTTATTCTCAACTTAATTCATTTATGAAAACTCTTTACTCAGCTTCTCTCTCCCTTTTCTTATATGCGTGGGAGTGAATTCTTGCCTGCTTTGACATACTTTATTTTTATAATGTTTATCTTCTAAAATTACTTGGGTAATCTGCCATCTTCAAAGATATTCGCCGAGCAGGACTTGCAAACTGCTTGCAATGAAATTTCAACTCATTTCCGTGCACGCAAGATACAGGTTAAATACCATGCCTGAGGCACGGAGAGTACAGATTCTCACAGAGTTCTTCAATAGCTGCTAGGGGACGTAACACATCATTATAATTCACAGCAGTCCTAAACCTTTCTTTATGCTTTCTCTCTAATTCTGTATTAAACTTTGAAAATGGATATAAAATTAATTCCTTATCATAGGAGAATTACTTTTCAAATATGTTTACAGTTTTCACCATAGTGAAATAAAAAAATATTTTTTTTTTACAAAATGAAACATTAAAATCTTTCATTAATAGATGCATTCCTTAAATTTGTTTTGCCTGAACGTTTTATTTTGATTGATGATTTTTATTTTGAATGTCTATAACTTTAATTTTTTGAAAACTAAGAAATTAAAACTAGAAGTTTTTATTTTGAAAGTGTCGAAGAGGAACATTGCAAATATTTTAAACTTTTTCTAGTATTTATGGTCAAGAAATTTTTGAAACTGATCTGCTCCTGCAGTTTGAAATTTGCTTTATCAATGGAAAAAATCATGTCCGAAAGCTCTTGACAATTCACTATTCACAGTGCAGATGGCTTTGACACTCAAGGCAAGGCTTTTTTCTAACTTCTTTTTCCAGCTTGACCAGCAGGGTACCCAAGTTGTCTTTTGAAGTATTTGGTATTTATAATCTTGGATGATGTGAGTTGGAAATGTACATTATATTATTTGCTGCTAGTGCAACTAGCTGAGGATGATACCATCAAATCAGCAAGTATCTAAAATGGTTGTTTACACATTGGCTGCTTCACATAATGATATTTGCTCATCAGATATTAAAAACAGGTTCAGAGAAGGTGGCAATAAATGGTCAAATTGAAAAAGTAGCAAGACCCTCAAGCAACAACAGCAGATTGGAAAGCAGCATTTAGTCGTTACAAAGATCAAGAGGACACTTATCCTGCAACAAAGACATCATAGCCAAAATAAAAAGAGACTGTCTATACAATCAGTTGTAGATTTAATAAACATTCCTTCTGCAAGTTTCATTAGTTAGACAATAATAGCAAATGCAAAGCAGTAACAAGTTAAGAAAGGATGCTGAGCTCACAACATTATTTTCAGAAAAAATGAATTAGTGCAGTCTCTTGTCAAAATCCTTTCTCAAGTCCTCCTAGTGGACATTTACTGAACTGATGTTTTTGAAAGCAGCCACTACACTCTACAGAGCCAGTTAATTGAAGCTTTGATCCCAGCTCTTGCAGTCTTCCCCTCTGGCATGCTTTTGGTGTTCCAGTACATCTGCAAATTCTGAATCCTTCCTTCTGGTGCTTTGGTGCAGATAAAGCAAGGAAAATGTAGACTTTTCAAAGTCCTTTCTAAATTATTCATGCTTAACTTACTCCATGTGTAGATGCAAGAGGTCTGTATTAAAGTGATGATATCTGCACATAAATCCAGATTCAAGATTGAGATGTACTCAGGTTATTTCCCCTGAGTGGCTTCCCATCATCTCCTACCTTACACCTCGTTCATTTGAGGAAAAAAACCCACTGTTTTGTCGTCCTTTTGATGGAATGAAAGATTATACAGGTGAATAGCTGTTAATAGTCTCTTTTGTTAGCCTTCAAATAACTTCTGGGGATATCTTGGCAAACTGGAAGGTAAAGATGATAGGGGAAACAGTTTACAACCAAAATGGAAATTGCAGGTTGATCAAATATTCATATTAGCAAGCAGATTACAATACGAAAGGCTAAGCAGAACCTATTTGCAAGTGCTTAGCCTATGTTTGTTATGGTAACATCAACCAAATAAACAGTTATTATTGAAGTTCTTATTCTAGCAATAGCTACTGTTTAAATGGTGAAATTGATTAATCCATTCCCTTTTAATTTATCCATTAGTTACAACAAAGTTTTACTGTTGTTTAATTTTATATTGTATATTCTTGGATTCAAAACTCTAAAAAAAAATAGGGGTTTTTTGTCACTAGTTTTAAGTATTCCATGAGATCTCCCATTGGTTCATTACAGCAATCACTGGGTGTCTTTCTGTCACTTCCCACAATTTGCCATCCCTTCATTGCTGTTGATTTCCTTCAGATGGTCCCTTTCAGCCACGTTTCACACTGAGCTTGCCACACCTACTGACGTTTTATCATATTGTTAATTTTTTCCTGTCTGTGACACTTGTTTCTGCCCCATCACTTCTTGCTCTTTGGTTTAAGGCTTCAGCACCTCCTCATGGAAGGAATTCCCAGAGGTACTTTAACCAGTCTGTCTTAAAAGTTACAACTATCCTCTTATTTTCCTTTTTAGAATGTTGAAACTCAAGGAAGAGGCCAACTCTTTGATTTTTCACAGAGAGTACACTATATTCTTTTTATAATCTAAATTTTCTGCCAGCTGTCCCACAGGACTAATGACTAAAACTGGGGAAAACGAGTTGAGCTGTATTTGGTGCTGTGACCTTTCAGTACTATCAACAGCAACTGTCTGTGTTGTAAGGCATTTGTTTTGATCCCATGTAGTAATACCAGACTGCATATCCGAATTTTAAGTGATTGACTGTTCCTGTTTCATTTTAAATAACACATATGTTATGACTGAATAAGAACAGGGATGTGTGGTTTGTACAGGGTAAGTTTCCAGACTGCTCAATTAGCTTTTTGTACAATATACAGTAAGATGTGTGAGGTTTATATCATTAAACCAGGGATTATTTACACTTTATTAAAACTGAACAGACAATGAACTCTTATCTCTTTCTCTAGTTATCACCAGCTTTTTCCCTGGAGCAAGGAAAGATGTCAACTTCATTGACATCTGGCTCTTAGCTTCTACTTATTACACATGCAGTCATGAACTTTTACTGCTGCAGGGTCAACATTTGTCTTGTTTATCTTCCAGCTTGAGCAGTGAGATTTCTTAGATTTTAAAAAACCCTTTTGTTGAATACATTCCCCTTTGACTTTAAAGATATTCAACATTCTTTATCTTAACAAAAGTGCAAAAAAAATACTCCGGGATGAAATCATGTCAAACTTTTTCTTAGTGTAAATAATTCAATGCTTTAAATTCTATCATTGATCTCCATCTAATCTAAACCAGAACTAGTAATTATTACACATATGTGAGGTTTCTAAGTGTATGAACTGTCTGTTCTGTGAGTTGACGATCACTTACTGTCTATTTGACATCACATCACAAAAAAAATGCTGTTAATTCACCAGTTTATCAGTCCCAATATCCAGTGAGAATGGAATCATGCATCCAAAAAAGGGAAAATAAACAGATCAGGGAGAAGACATGACAGTGTACAGATAACAAATCTCGGGATTGTAAGTCCTTCACTTGCCTCTTTCAATTTAAATTCATTTCAAAACTCTTGGTGAACAGCCCCTTACAATCACAGAGGTATGAATGGCATAATTTCTGAAATTCTGAAGTGGTAGTACTCTTGTACAATCTCATAAGAGCATGACAGTTTATTCTATAACCGATGCTTTCCAAATCATTCTCAAAATGAGATTTTGCAGTTTTGCAGATTTATTGATCATTAAATCTCTCTAAAAATGGATATTAAGGCTCTAGTATTTTTGCTTTTCACTGTTTCATCAAGAAATTGAAATTTTTTTCTCATTTTAGGCATTTAAGTTTGAAAAGCCAGTAAGATACAATAAGGTCATGCCTTCAGAGATGCATTCTAGCACTGATGGATGTATCACAGAGCAGAAGATTGATATACTTCAAAACATTCAGGTTTCATGACTTTGTTTTATTTGGACTTTAGAAGTCCAAATAAACTACTACTTTTTCAGTAGCAGTAGTCAGGCAAACAAACTTTTAAGGAAAGTCTAAAGCTAAAGGGGCAAAATCATATAGGAAAATCCCTACCCAACTTCCCCTCTTGTCAAAAGGTTCCCAGAGCATTAGTCTGATGACATATTTTCACACATCTTCAGGGAAGAACATGCTTTGATTTACTTTCAAAATTAAGAAGAAATGAAACAAATGGGGTCGGTTTTGGTAGAAAGATGACGTAGGACACTTCGCTTTTGTTAGCTGTTTAAGAAACTGCTAATTTATTCAGAGGTTTTGTTTGGCATCTGTTAATTGTACTCTTGCACTTGACGATGTCTGTTTTGAAGTGTAAGACAAGCTATAAAATTGTTTTTTTAATCTCTCCACTCTTCCTGGATCTTATTGGCTAATAAAACCTTGTTTTGTTTTAGTGGAAGCGACAGAACCTAATAAAATAAAAGCTGTATGACAATATCCATTCTAATCCTGTAACATCAGGGAGTTATAATTTTCTGAAGTTAAGCTTTTGCCTTTAAGGCCTCTCTCTTCTAGATTCAGTTCAAATCTGAAGACACACTGTTACAGGATAGAGCTCTCTTATTTTGTTTTCTTTTGTTCTGTCCTTAAAGTTTAAGAAAAACTAATTCAGACAGCACTCAATGGAGGTGTGGGTATGAGGGTATGTGTGTGTGTAATAAATTATTTCCTCCAGTTTAATGTATATCTGCTTATGACTCATTTTTCAACAGTTCTGATTCCATAATGACTGGGTTAGAGCATTTAGTTTTGCTATGGAAGTACCCTACACTGAGATGTGCTTTGAAATATTTTTGTGAACATTGTTTTTCACTTACTGAATTATGATGCATTGAAACTGACCTGCAGGCATCCAGAGTATTTTTAGTAGGGGCTTTCAGTAACTTCTGAGTGACTTCAAGATCAAAGGCAAGTTGTTATTTCTGTATAAAGTTAATTAGTAAATGCGTAAAGGGAAAGCGAGGAGGCATGTATTCTTCCTTACATACCCAGGAAAACATCAGGTGGAGCAAGCTGTGAGATTCCTCATTATGCAACTCAGTCCTGATTTGCTGAAACTGTCAGTCTTTGGTTGTCTGAACAAAGAAATATGTAAATAATTTCAAGTAGGTGTGTAAATCCATCTAAATAAATCATGTGCAAATGCTTTTCTGGGGCATAATAGCATGAAGTACATTTTAAATGCTTTCTACAATTGGAGAATAATCAGGTATTCTGTTATTCTCACGGCATTTCTTTTCACATGGGCCTTAGTGCATGACACCCCTTTAGATAGATATTGCTATAAAGAGATATTTTAGGTAGCTATTTGGTCATCATTAGAATTGAAATCTAAGTGTCATTACATTCCTTCCTCATAGCATGCTCAGCTATATAACAGATACGTTGATATTAAAGTTCAGTCTCAAAGTGTCACTAAAGCAGGAGGAACCACACTGTGGACAGCAGATGGTTTGGCTGCTGCAGCGAACATACAAGTCTCCATGATTTCATGGCGTGACACGAAGGAAAGGTGATTGTTGTGAAGTAATGCTGAATATTTTGCTTTTCTGGGATGTAAGAAACTTAGTAACTTGAATACTCCATCTGTTATTTCTCTGTCCACTTCTACAGGGTGTGTGTGCTTCTTGACTATTTTTGCATTCATTTCACTGACAATGACACATAACTCAGCACTATTTAAAAAGACAGTGTTTGACACCTATTCAAGGCTAGTGAAAAATAAGGTGTTTAAGTTCAGCAACACAAACTGTACTGTACTTCTGCAGGCACTGTGACTGATCTAACAAATATTTTATCTATCTAAGGTGAGTTTGGAGAAGTATGCAGCGGACGTCTGAAGACACCAGGAAAAAGAGAGATACCTGTTGCAATTAAAACTCTAAAAGGTGGCTATGTGGACAGGCAGAGAAGAGATTTCCTGAGAGAGGCTAGTATCATGGGACAATTTGACCACCCGAATATAATTCGCCTTGAAGGAGTTGTTACAAAAAGTAAGTTACTATGAATAGCTTTTTGTTGTTTTTCTCGTTCTGTGTCATCTAGTATAAACATTAAGTATTTCTTCCACATTCAATGTGCATTTCAATTCTCAGAAGTTTTCCAAATCATGAAGTGCAGCTGAAAATGCAGAGTTTGGGACCATAGTAGGAAATGCACAGCCTATACATTTTCAATTCAAAATATTTTATTTTTATTTTTTAATTAAAATCCTACTCATTCAAGTAAAGACTTTACTGGTTCTTATGAAATAGCACTGTAGTTTGCTTATAAGGAAGTGGAATACAGGAAACAAAGCCTGAAACATAACTGAGTTGACAATGAAGTCAAATCATCCTGTAAAGTAGCAGCTATAGTCGTCTTTTGCCACAAGCACTAACTCTTTATTTGGTTCTGTGGGTACCAGAAGTGATCAATTTCCTGTTTTAAAGAAGTAAAACGTACATTCTTTTAAACTTACTGTACACTTGGAAGTGATTCTGTAAAATGGCAGAATAATCTATGAAATGTTTTGCCCTTTTTACCTATTGCAGCTGCCAAGAGATAGCCCTTGCCTCTGAAATCTAGAATTTTTAGCAGGGTTATGTTTTTTTCTAGTTATCACTTACATATTAAGTAAAAGTCTTTACATGCATGTAATTTCTTTAATGACAACTTTTTGCAGTAATGAATTGAGAACTCACAGGGTACACTCTTCTCAAAATTAATTGTTGCCTCAACTGAACCATGTTGTTTGCTTAATTGCAGTACTTATGTTTTTCTTTTAAAGATCTAGAGTTTTCTGTATAAAACAATGATGTCTTCTTACCGTCACAGTAAATACAATAAATGTTGTAAATATTTCCTGGTTTCACCTGGTTACTATAACAAAAGCTATGTTTGGAAAACACAGTGCAGTAGAACAAAGATGAAAGTATAGCTTCATGTCATTGGAATCAGATTTCGGTAGGTTTACAGGATGACCTTGTTGAAATCTGTCTCTGTGTTTCTAAATTAAGATTAAGAGATTCTCTTTTTTTTTCCCCTTCACACAGTATTGCCAGGATAACATCATTATTATTTAGGAATACTTGATTACTAAACTAACAAAATACATTACACTGCAGACTTCTGGAAAGATGTAGCTTAGTATCCTCCATTGACTTCCCACTAGTAACTGCTCTGCTGACAACAAACAAGAACAGGAGTTAATACTGTCTGAGCAGCATTTGAGATCGTTGTCAAGAGATGTAAATATGTAGGAACTTAACTGAATTTAGCTCTTTGATTCATAATGAGCAGTGTAGCAGCAATTAAATTCCACCAGTCTTCACCAACATGGGCAGTTTATGAACCAGTATCACAGATACGACTAGGATCCATGTGGTGAATCTATTAGTGTATGTCTCATTTCTGAAAAGGATAATGTCTGTGATTTACAACATTGTTTACATCCAATTAAAAGATGCACAGAGTACAGTATAATGTACTTGGCAGTGTAATCTTTGCCACATTTATAAATTTTCTTTCTGTAATGTGTCATCATCAGTCTGGAGAGAAATAAAGATTTCATCAAGAAAACAGAAACAGATAAATCAATGCTTCAACATTAGAGTATTTGTTCCTGTTCTACAGGAAAAGTGATTATAGACAACTGTAAGTCAAGAAGTCATCATTAGCAGTTCTGCTTTGCTTTAAGGAGTCAACAAACTTTATTATTGTTTTTGGAATGTTTGCTTAGCACGACGTAAAAATAGTATGTGTCATAGTCATAGTCACATTGTCCTGTAAAAATATGCATCTCTCTCAGATATAAAGTAAGAAGAGAAAGTTTAAAAGAAAATAATTTTGTGTCAGGCAAGTTTAAAAAATAAAACAATTATACAGCAATAATTATAGAATTAAAAAGAAACCAAACACATTATCAACAAATTTCACATGAAGGCATGGAAAGTGCAAGTTATATAAAGTGTAAAGGACAAAGTTTTGCAGTACTGCTCTGCTGCAGGGAAGAAGCTAGGAGGCAGGCTGAGCAATGGGTACAAACACTCTGCTACGTTTCTCTTTTATCAATTTATCTTTAGGCTGTTGCCTTGCATTTATCCTGCCCCATCTGTGGGGTTATTATTTAGAGAATAACCTGGCCTCAGCTGGGAGCAGAACAGTTACTTTGCATTTCACTAAATCATAAATCTAGGATTGCACAAGTCAACGCCGGACAAAAAATTTCCTGTATCTAAAAGGTGTGCTGTAAAACTCAGACAGAACCTTGTCCTAGCCAAATTACTTCTGTAATGATAGCATGATTAAAAGGTGGTTTGTGTTAAAACTTGGATTAATAACAGCAGAAACTATTTATCTGATGTGCATTACAGTTCTACTAACCTATGAAGGCACATCAGATGCAGTAAATTTGATTAATAGACGTGTAATGCTGTTCTTAGCACATGCTTTCCTCTTCGTAACCATTAGTCATTAACTGCTAGCAGTTGCTGATATATATTGCATCAGTTTGTAAGCAGTACCTTCCATTACAGTCTCACTGACTATTGAACAAAAAAGAAAAAGGATTTGATTGTAATAAGCAGAAGTGCTCTACCAAGTCAATAGCTATTGACTGCAGCAGTACAAATTCGCCTGTTCATTACAAATGAGAGCTTTTACCTGGTGCTACCAGCTAAGCAGATGTTAACTTTTAAGTGATAGTATTTTCAAAACTGCTATGGAAAATGTACGGTACAGGATGAAAAATGGCCTAAACTAAGCCTGCTCAAAAGTAGGTCTGAAACAGGGTTTTAATCCCCTTTTCTCATTGTTTCATTTCTCATTTGTCCTAGCTGCAATCCCTAATCACAGAGAGCAGTAGGCAGAACAGTTGTTGTAGCAAAAGCTTTCTGTTAGCGGAGAGTTCACTCCAAGGGCAATTGCTGGGCCAAGGCAATGCACTGTAACACAGAATCTGGATCCGATCGTTCGCTTATATTGCTAATCAGAAGTCACAAGGGAAACTTTATTCCTGTTTGGTTTGTCTTAGCAACACTATTCCTTTCATGGTTTTCTATAAAAGGCTCTTTATTGCCCTGCAAATCTATGTGAGATGCTTAGACACTTCATAAAAATATCCATGTTTCCCTTTCAAGTCCTGTTAGCACAGTGATGATTTTGGGACCTCTTCTGGGTGTGTCAGGGCATGCTCAGCTGAGTTGTGTGTCACTGTTTAAGCTGATGCTCTTTCATAAACAGATATAAGAAAAATAAAACTTCTTTCTCCAGCGCAAATGTACGTAACCAACATAAGGATCTGGGCTATATAGAAGTAAGATGCGTCTTCCGCTTCTACATGATGTTGAAGTCTGAGTTGCAGGCTTTCCATGAAGCCTGTAAAGCAACTTAAAGCTATGCTTAAGGCAAACACCTGCCAACATAACAATATCTACAAGAGACGTGAAAAAGTCGTCTCTGACTGCTGTAACTGTACGGGAAGAAATCGTTGGTGTTACACTAGCCAAAGTGGAATCTAGAGTTTAGCTTGATGGTATCTTACACAATAGTTTAAACACAGCCTTGTCAGTACTGTGTATTACTGTCAGTACCAAATACCAATGCATGCAAGGGTTTTATTGTAGTTATAATCTTAGTTTATTCCTCTCCCCCTTGGACTTTACCCCAGATAACTTTCAATTATTAAAATAATTTCTAATAAATTGCTTCCATTTCCGAACTTTCTCTACTGGCGGATTTGCTCCTGTCATGTGTACAAGAGCAATCTATTTAAGGCATTCATTTTCTTTAACAACTTTATGTATGTTTTTGTTCTCCAAAATTATTTTCAAATTAATCACTTCAGAAAAGGAGGGTGAATGAAAACAGCACCTAGGTTTTTGTTTCTCTATAAGCTCACATCCCCATAACACTGAGTCTGGGTTTGGAATGACACGTTCAACTCCCTTATTGTCTCCTCGCTGTTTTGCTTTAGTGGCCTTCAAATTGTGAATACTGTAGCAGTTCTGAAATCTTCAATCAGTCAACCGGAAGATTAAATTCAAAGCTTTAATCATTGAGTTTCTTTTTAAATTATTATATATAACCAGTTCTGTGCAAGAAAAGTCCGGAGGTCAGAGTCCTTTGCCTTGTCCATGAGGAAGGCAAAGCAGCAGCATGACCCTCTCTCACTACAATTTGCAGTATGTAGCTCCTCATATCTGACTCCTTTGTCATTTATCAAAAATGCAGGAGATAACAATTTCTTTTTTTTTTTTTTTTCCAGCCAAGACACTGTGTTCTGGGCCTTTGAGCCCTTAGTGTAATGAATCTAATGTTGTCCTTTTCTCCAACCTCTTAACATTTGAGACAGTTAAATGGACTTCAGAATTCATTTTGGAAGGTGACATATTTTGCAGTATATATGTTTATTGTACACAGCATTGTATACTTGGCTGTTATTCAAAAGGATTGAAGAAATTTTCTGTAAGGGTTTTGTAACACTCTTACCTTGGTCATGGATGGTGATCTCATACTCTGAAAAAATGTGATTTTGCAAAGTTTAAATGTTGACCTTTTAAGAGTTAGGTAGTGACTATTTGAAGTAGACTACACCATGATACCTTACAAAATATGACCACGATTATACACCAAATATGTGACCTACATTACATTTATCATTGATTTCGGAAAAGTAAAACATTTAGGGCCAACAGAAAACAAACAAGTTTAATAAATTCCATGTTAGCATTATAGTATTGTTTATAACCTACAGTGTAAGCATTCTCAATTCTTCACATTTACATCTGTCAGTAATCTCAGTACATCACTGAGACATCGCTGGTATCTCCAGGCACAGATGTACTTATTAGAGGCCAAAATGGCTTCAGATCCACCCTTTAAACCCACCCATTGTACTGGAAGGCACTTGCACCTGCCTTACGCAACACAGATGCACAGCAGGGTGTGAAATTATTTATCCCTGAATATCTTCCATTCTACTTATAGAAAATTCACTGTGACACAGAGTGGT